GCAGTCATCGCAGTTTGACAGACACGTCTTAGCCAGCACATGCCTTGTTCGCCTAATGCCTTGAGCATTGTAAAATGCTTCAAATTCGTAATTGAAACATACTAACTTTAAAGCTGGATAATGAGAAAGGCAAATCCATCAAAATATTGGAAATTTGATGTCAGCGACGATCAGCTTAATCCCACAGATTTGCTTCCTTCAAACGAATTGATCTGCGTGCAAACGGACACTCAACGATAACTTCTGGTAAACATCTGAGACAGAAAACTATTGTAGCTGCTTAAGCAAGGGATAAATGGTATTAAGTACGTTGTTTAAAATGCAGGACAAAGTTAGACATGCATAATTTATCACTCGAGTGTTGCACAACGTCAAATGACGTGCAGTAAAATAATAAATCATGCATCATCTATGATTTTGACACCGTTTCTGTGAAACGGCACATAGCTCCTACACGATTAGATTTCACGGGGTATTGCACCGTCCTCTGGCCCTAGTTGCCTAGAAAAAAGTGATATTAGCACGCAATTTTACCTTATTTTTTTAGCAAAAGCATTGCGATGCTTCTCGCATCACTTTGTTCGCTAAAATCACCTCATACTCATCACGAACGATGTTTCAAGAGCATGCTGTTCTTCCTCATATGCTATGTTGCATGAACATCAAAATATTTTCGTTCGCCGGTGAATGCACAATGATACATATTTAATCCAAGACTAGATTTCAGGGCGCATATCACCGACTCCTTGCTCCCAGTCGTCTGGAGGGGAGAATGATATAAGCAACATATGGTTTCATCGTATTTGAGCACCTGCAATGCCAGATGCCCCTCGCATTACTTTGTTCATTGAAGCCACATTGCACTCATAACGAACAATTTTTTAGGACTTACTGTTGCCTCTCATCTTGGTTTGAAGGAATTATGCATCACTTAACATACTCGAGCGTATGCATACATTTGATGTTCATGCGTGTGAAAAGTACCAGTTCCTGAGATATAATTCGTAATGATTATGAATTGGATGTAGACTCGAGGATTAAAGTGCTTCTGCTTCAGCGGTAAACTCGGAAACGAAAGTGATGGGCCCGAATAAAAATGGTGTTAAATTAGACGTACCTTAAATATGAACTGAAGCGTCAAGAATCAATTATTTCAAAAATGAGTCGTATCCCGTCATGCACCCGGATAATGATCTTTATTCGGTCTGTTGGTAAAACGGCTAAATTAGGACGGGGTCCGTTCGGCTGAGCCGCTAACGCGGTAGCCATGTTGACATTCGGGAATCAGTTCTCGTTTCGGATGCAATTTAAGTATGCCGCATGCAAACAGCCTATTTATATGTTGTTCTCGAATTACGTAAGTGGCAGTGTAGCTGAGGTATGGTTTAAATGCGGTGGTTCGGATGGCCTTTGTCTTCGTCATCTGTGAGCGTTATAATCGTATCCCAAGTTGCTAATTCGCCGCTTTGGTGGCGCAGCGCCATTTGGATTGAGGAAGGCAGTTTCGGCCGCTGTTGCTTGAGGGCAGAGCGACTACGATATGTTACAGAGCAAGTGTTCTATTGCAAAGGGGTGCATCTTCTTATCTGGTAATTAATATCACGAAAGAATCACATGACCTATAGACTTCCAATCATATAGGATATTATTATGAGTTTAATAAATTGTTAACGCCCTGTTTTGTTGCAGAACTTCTCTCGAATGCCTGAACAGACGAACGACTACCGGGTAGCGGTGTTCGGTGCCGGGGGCGTCGGCAAGAGTTCAATCGTGCAACGGTTCGTCAAGGGTACTTTCTCGAATAATTACATACCGACCATCGAGGATACATTCCGGCAGGTTATCAGCTGCAACCGTAATAACGTTTGCACCCTCCATATCACCGACAGCACCGGCAGCCATCAGTTTCCGGCCATGCAGAGGCTTTCGGTGTCTACAGGCAACGCGTTCATCCTCGTCTATGCCATCACCAGCAAGCAGTCGTTCGACGAGCTCTCCTCATATTACGATATGATCAAGGAGGTTAAGGCTGACGACCTCGCGGACGTTCCAGTCATGATAGTCGGCAACAAGTTGGATGAGGAGGAACAACGAGAGGTGCCTATGACGATCGCCCAGAGCAGGGCCGCCGACTGGCTATGCGGGTTCATCGAAACCTCTGCCAAGCACGACGTAAACGTGACAGAACTATTTCGGCAACTGCTGGATATGGAAAAGAGACGGAAGCTGTCGCTGAACCTCTGCGACGGAGCAGATGCGTCAAAGAAAACACAATGTTGCTGCATATTGAGCTAACAACCATACTGTAGAACTGGACTC